ATATAAATATATATGTTATTATTATATCTTTCTATGTGATCTGTAATAAAGAGAAAAGCAACAATATTGTTCTGTAGCTACAGATTTTTTTAAAAAAAGAAGCTTTTTAATACAAATAGTGAACCCTTTCATACTTGACTTTTAAAAAGGAGTGGCATGTATTCAGAGAGTTGCTTAATAAAGTGGGGCACAGCTATCAGATTACATGTTACATAAATAACAAAATTGTGTGAAAGTAGGATATCCGCAATCACTTTGAAAATGGAAAACAAATAGTTAGTTCTCCTGTTTGACAAATGTAGAAAATCCCAGGCTGATGATTTGTGATACAATCTTTTTATGTGCTTCTCATACTTTTTTTCCCAGACCATTCTTTCTGAAATGTAGCTGGAGTGGAATTTTGCAATTACTGCTAATTTCCATTGACGTTTACCTCTTTAGTGGTCAGACCTATACAGTGATTGTGAGCCCTAATTTCTGTTTACATAAAGGCAATCTGTCTAAATGTCTGTAAATTGATCACATTGAATCCTGGTGTAGTGATTGCAAAAGAGGAAGTTGTCCTATACTTGAGAGGTTTTCAATTAAACTAGTGACTCCCTTAGGAATGGTTTTGTCAAATGAATTATATTTCCACCTCGTGAAAATTAGTTCCTTTTTCCAAGCAGAATATAGGCTAATTGCTAAAGAATTGTAAATAAATGTGGGGTTTTATGTACAAAAGCTGTCGTATTATTACATTTTGTTTCACACACAAATTGCAAACAGGGAAGTTAATGGGAACTGATATGTATTTTAATTTAAAGAAACACTATAACCTTTGTACCAGAAGTAATCTCTATGAACATGTTTCAAATTTGTTCTTGCCACTACAGGCTCCCTCTTTTGCTTGCTGACCTGGTTAGACTGCTGCTTTATTAAAGCAGGAGCCAAGAAAAATGGAGCAAATGTGCATTTATAAACCAGAGCAACCAGTTTTCTTGTTTATTTTCTCCAAGGGATAAAATACTAAATCTGGTTGGTTGCAAAGGGCATAAGTGTCACTTATTCTACATATTTCTATCAGCTTTTGATGAGAAGTGAATTTCGAGGGACTGTTCAAGGTAATGCACTGTTTTTTGTTTTTTTAATTTTTCAAATATATTATAGAGATCAACTGAAAATAAAACTGCTTTGCTTATGCAGGGCAAAGTAACTTAATCTCCCCATCTCTAGCATACCTTTAAATTGCTTCCCTTGCTTCCCAGTTTGCCTGCTAGTAGTGAATATAATATGCTGTACTCCTGAGTATGGGGAAGCACATGACTCACTATTCTTGCTCCCATGTAACAGTGCTAGCACTTAGCAACTTACCTAGAGCTGTAACAAGTTGTTAAGAAGGGAGGCAGACTATCAATTTTGTACAAAGTGTTCTAGCACTCTAGTGACTAGTCTGAAAAAAATGCTAATATATATAATTGCTGAGCCTGATGAAGGGGACCCTGCGTGGCCCCGAAAGTGCTAGTTTTGGTGACATGATGTTCCAATAAACTAACTATTTGGACAGCAATACTGGTGGTGTGCTGGTGACATTTATTCATCCTTTTTTGCTTTGTTCCCTCCACTAGGGAAATAGACGAGATGGAAGTAGTTATCTCGATTTTCTCTGTCACATATCGCAGCAGCTCTAACTGAGCGAATGACGAAACATGCCTAAGCAGAAAATGATCAATAGATCCAACGCTACAGACAGCTGATGTAATATGCAAATCTCAACTTTTACTGTAAAGGTTTACAGCACCTCTAGATTTTCTTTTAACTTCAGCTGGATATGGATCTACTGATCATTTTGACAGGAGGAAACTTTTGCTTATGTATTTTTCGTCATTTGCTCTGTTACAACTGCTCAGATTTCTGACAACTAAGCAAATGGAGATAACTACTTCCATCTCATCTATTTCGCTAGTGGAGGGAACAAAGCAACAAAGACACATAGATTTGTTATAACACATGGAAGGATATTTTGTCTGGCAAAATC